CTAATGTATCCTGACAGCAAACACTGTCAAACATCAGTACACATTAGTAAGGGAGATGGTAGCGTGCTCTAAGACCAGGCAGTTATTTATGGCAGGGTTCTGAAACTGTCATGACTGGACATAGAAATTCTAGGCTAAACTGGAAGGATACTGAGAGATCCTGAGGATCCATGTCCATTCGGACTGCTGTAATGAAAATGCCATGGGCTAGGTAGCTTATAAGCAGCAGAAATTCATTGCTTACAGTTCTGGAGGGTGTAAAGTCCAAAATCAAGGCTCTGGCATATTTAGTGTCTGGACTTTTCCATTCACTGGACTTCCTCTTCTCACTGTGTCCTTGCATGGTAGAAAGGGTTGAGCAAACTCTAGCCTCTTGGTACAAGGGCACTCATCCCATCCATGAGGGCTCCACCCTAGTGACTTAATCACTTCCTAAAGGCTCCACTTCCAAATACCTTAATATGTAGGATTAGGTTTCTGTGTATGGATATTGGTGGAGGGGGGAGACATATTCACTCTGTAGTATCCTTTCAACCATGACTGTCAAAACTTAGAGATGGTAAGTATTTCATCTCCTCTCCTCCATTTAAACACTCCCTAGTCACGGCAAATCCATGACAGCAGTAACTCTTTCAATCCCTGAAATGTGCTTCCCACAGCTCAGATACCCTTGAAAGTCTGCAAATTTTAATTTCTGCTGATTGCAATCCACTCCTCAACTCCCAGGAAAATTCTCTATCATCTTACCCATTGACAGTTATTTAATCTTGGGGCCCCTGGATGGCTCTGTTGGTTAAGCATCCCACTCTTGATTTTGGCTCAGATCATAATCTGAATGTTCATGAGATTGAGCCCCCAGTCTGACTCCATGCTGGTAGCAGAGGATTCTCTCTCTCCATCTCTCTCTGACCCTCTCCGGCTCATGCATGTCCTGTCTGTCTCTCAAAATCAATAAAATAAACTTAAAAAAGAAAGTTATTTAATCTTATTTTATTGAGTGAACTAACTAATGAATGAAAAAAATCAAAATTTTCATGAGACTTTCAATGTATTAACTGAATAATTCTGGTAAAAGTGGCTTTGAGGTCAATAAGCACATGAAAATATGCTCAATATTGCTAATCATTAAGGAAATGAAAATCTAAGCCATAATGAGATATCACTTAACACCCCTTTGGGTGTTATTTTAAAAACCCTTGAAAGAACAAGTGTTTATGGGGATGCAGAGAAATTGGAGCCCTTGTGCATTGCTGGTGGGAATGTAAAGTGGTATAGCCACTGTGGAAAACAATACTGTGGTTTCTCAAAAAATTAAACTTAGAATTATCATAAGACCTAGAAATTCCAATTCTGGGTATATACCCAAAAGAATTGAAAGCAGGTACTCAAACACGTATTTGTACACCAACGTTCATAGCAGCATTATTCACAACAGCCCATGTCCATCAATGAATGGATGGATAAATAAAATGTGGTATATTCATACAATGCAATATTATTTAGTCGTAAGAAAGAATGAAACGTTAATGCATGCTACAACATGAATGAATCTTGAAACATTATGCTAAGTGAAATAAGCTAGACATAGATGAACAAATATTATATGATTCCACTCACACAGGTACCTAGAGATGTCAAATTCATTGAGACAGAAAGTAGGATAGAGGTTACGAGGCACTAGGGGGAGGGAGGGACATAGAGTCATTTATTGGTACATAGTGTCGATTTGGAAAGATACAAAATTCTGGAGATGGATGGTGGTGATGGTTGTACAACAGTGTGAACATACTAAATGCCACCAAATTGTATACCTAAAAATGGTTAAAATGGTAAACCTTAAAAAAAATAGCTTTGAGGCTCAGTCAGAGTCTTAGAAAGAGAATGGGCTTTTAAGTCAGTCCATCTAGGTTTGACTTCGATTTTTCTGGATGACTCTGACTTTGCCGGGCCCCCCTTTCTTGCACAGGCCACTTCCAAGGTATAGGAATGGCCCTAGTAATGTGTTCACCAAGTCATGTATTTTCCAAAATTTGCAAATGTAAACTTTTCATCCCAGTTGGTCAAGGCCACTTTCTCTTCCCACTTTGTTTTCTTCTGCTGTCATACTTTCATGTCAAATGCCATTGCCAGGGGAGCAGGCAGTTTTGGGATGCAGATAAGCAGAAGTTGAAGGAGGGGCATATTTGATCTAGTTTTAGAGGGACACGCTTACCTGCTTTTGCAGTCAGTTCTGCGCATTGTTCCCGTATTTCCAGGAGTCCCAGCCATAGCACTGGCTTCAAGGCATGTTGCCTGGGTCAACTTACCTCAGCAGGTTGGTCACAGGGAGGTGGGGCTAGATGTCACATGGCAAAAATATGACATCCATGGTACCTGGCATGGAAAGTACATAAGACTGGAGCCAGAAGGGCTAATCATTTCCAATTCAAAGAGAATCTAAGATTAGCTTTTGAGTAAGGAAATTTGAAAAACCCTGAAAGTCTACAGCTCATGTTAAAAAGAAACTTGGTAAAAATTTTTGTAAATTTGAAAACAGTCCTAAAACTCTACATGGCATTACCAAGACTGAGATATGATGATGAAAGAAACTTGTCTAAACTGTCCATGGCAGGGGCACCTGTGTGGCTCAGTAGGTTAAATGTCTGACTCTTGATTTTAGCTCAGGTCATGACCTCACAATTTGTGAGTTTGAGCCCCTCATTGGTCTCTGCTCTGATGGTGCGGAGCATTCTGGAGATTCTCTCCCTCTTTCTCTCTCTGCCTCTACCCCACTCTCTCCCTCTCTCTAAAAAATAAATAAATACATAAATAAATAAATAAATAAATAAATAAATAAATATTAAAAAAATAAGGTCTCCATGGTAAAAACAAATTTGTTCAACTATGCTGAGAAAAATAGATAAATTATATTTCTGCTCTCTCAATAGAAAACACAAAGTCATGGTCATATGGCTATGAATCCATATGGATTCCAAGAGAACATATGGATAAAAAATACAGGGAGAAAGTATTACAAAAGGTGTTAGGCAGTTAATTCACGAGAATGAGTTATTTTGCTGGATTTTATGGTCTTTGTGATGTTTACTTTTAAAGTTGTAATTTCTTTTTTCATTTTGAATAAATATTCACTTTCATATCTACTTTTGTATTTGGGACTTTGTATTACAGAATGCCTAGAAATTTTTAAAAGCTTCAAACCCCATGAAATTTGGGTCTACTCTGGTGCGAGATGTAGGAGTAGCTTTTCTCAGGCTAGAATTTTCTTGGCTAAATAATGGGTAATTGTACCACCTACCAAGGTTTTTATGCAAGTTACATTAGGTGGTGTGAATGAGTTTCTGGCACATAGTAGGGTTTCAGTAAATGATCGTTTTCTTTTCTCTCATCTGAATTCTGATGGTATAAATTTGTGATCTTAACTTCGACCTTTATATCGTTTATACCTGGTTCATTATCTCTGTATTTCCCCAAGTAGGTTCTGAGTTCATTGCACTCCTACATGGTCTCAACCTCTGGTTTATTTGCTAATCCATTTTTGTTCTGCTGCTACAGTGATTTTTCAGAAAGGCAGATCTGATCTGAGTTAAAAATCTGACCTGCTTAAAGAACATTAATGGCTCCCTTTGAACAAAAGATAGCTGAAATGTCTCCATATGGAATTTAGAGTACTTAAAGTGACTCCTGCCTACTTTTCTAGACCTAAATCATACCTCCTTCAAATCCTATACTCCAGGCAGCCAGGTATTTGCTGCTTTCTGTCATTTCTGGTTCAGGCAAGGATGTCCTCTTCCTGCCTGTAATTCATTCATTCATCATTCATTCACCCACTCATTACAAGAATATTTATCGAGTCCGTATTTAACTTGTGCAAGACATACTAAGTATATGAACACAAGCTATGTGGAAAATTAGCCTGATGAAATGGTCACCCCCCAAACACCTTACCAGGCAAGTTGCTTAGAGGTCAGGGAACAAAGCATCTCATAGACTAGGTTAGAGGACTCATGGCAGGGTTTATTAACCCCCAGCGAGAACGGAAAGAGAGATGAAGTAGGTCAACACAAGAGGAGGGCCATGCCATCAGGTTTGTGGACCACTTCCAGATCCCTTCTCTCTCTGCCACATTAGCTTTCCTCGCTGGTGACATCATCATGAGGCCAGAGTTGAGTTTGCCCCTGGACGAGATATGGCAGGAATTGGAACACACTCTCACTGTATTGAACAGATCCACATGCATTTGCTGGCCCCATATATAGCTCACACAATGCTGTGCTGAACTTCAGCTGTGGGCTGCCTTTGTGGTTCATGGATAGAGCATATATGGGCCAGGATGGGACCACACTGGGGCCACTGATATGTGGCTAGGTTAGGGGTGACAGAGCTGTCCAGCCACAAATGGCATGATCATAATCTTGCTTTTGTAATTCTTTTGGTCTATAAGTAACATTCTTGTGTGTTTCATCATATTTTCCATCAATTCTATGTGTCTCTGGCATGTCTTAGAGATTATAGACTTACTTAACATATCTTATGATTTTTGCCCATATCCCATAACTACTTGCTTACTTATTATCTACACTTAACATATAAGTTCCATCTATATTTTATGAGTTATTAGCTTACTATCTGTCTTTATGGATTCCACTTATCTTGTTTTTCTTGTTCTAAAAGTCAAATACCCTTTTTTTAAATCTTTATTTTTGAGAGAGAGAGACAGAGAGACAGAGAGACAGAGAAAGCAAGGGAGCAACACAGACAGAAGGAGACATAGGATCCAAAGCAGACTCCAGGCTCTGAGCTGTCAGCACAGAGCCCAATGCAGGGCTCGAACTCACGACCCGTGAGTTCATGACCTGAGCCGAAGTCAGATGCTCAACCGACTGAAGCACCCAGGTGCCCCAAAAAGTCAAATACTCTTAAACAATATTGCAAATGTACAACATACCAGGAGAAATATAATTTTCAGGAAGCTTGTGGGAGAGAAGCATAAGTGGCCATACCTAGGCTGTCCTTGCCACATATGAAGTGAGGTAGACATGTACAGAATCACTCCTGATTTGGCCAGGGATTAGAGCAGGCTTCCCACAGAGGAGAATTATGGAGTCAGGATAGTGGGAATAATCCAGGCTGGTAGGGCTGGTGCAAAGGCCCCTTTGGAGAGTTGCAAGTCATTGCGTCTGGCTGGTGCATGAATCCTACATGAGGAGCAGAAAACATTTGACTAGGAGAGATTGCCAAGGAGCTTCTGTGATTGGCCTTGAGTGCCTTGCTAAGGAACTCGGAGGTTATCATCACGGGCCCCGGAGGAGCTGTGAAAGAATTTTTAGTCTAGCTTTCCCTCTCTTGACCTTCAAACTCTTATCTCTACCTGGGGTTGTTAATTTTATGTGTTGGCTTGGCTGAGCCAAGGCACTCAGATATTTGGTCAAATATTCTTCTAGATGTTTCTGTGAAGGTGTTTTTCAGTTGGGATTAACATTTAAATCAGTAGACTTTGAGTAAATGCAGATTACCATCCATAATATGGGGGGGGGGGCTCATCTAATCAGTTGAAGGCCTTAACAAACAACAAAACTAAAAAAACCCTAAAGTGACCTCCCTGAACAAGAAAGAATTCTGCCAGCAAACAGAGTTTGAACTGGAACTTTAGCTTTTCCTTAAGTCTTCAGCCTGGCAGCCTACCCTGCAGATACTGGACTTGCCAAATTCCTTAAAATAAACCTCTCTCTTTATATATTCTTACATCCTATTGGTTCTAGGGCCTGATTCAAATATTACCCTATTTGTGCAATCTCTCCGGCTCCACATTAGTCACTTCCTACTCAGCAGCTCCTATAACATTTTCTGGGTAACACTGTTCAGGACTCAACACATGATTCATATTTATTTACATCTGTCTCTCCCATAAAACTGCGGGTAACTTGGGGACCAAGTTGTATTCATCACTGAAGTCCCTGAGACTGATAGAAGCTGCTACTAAAAAAATGCTCAATAAATATTTATTGAAAAAATGAAAAAAAATGGAATGATACACTACGTGCAGTTGCGGTATCCACAGCAATTAGAATGCATGGCGCGTAGCAGGCAATGGCTGAATATCCATGATGGCGATGTTAATACCCTAGGCACCTATTTGCCATGTTATGATAAGCTGGACACTAGTCTACCCTCTAAAAATACTGTGGAACCTGAAAGGGCTCATACAAATTTATTTTTATTAATTTAAGGGTTTCTGCCAAAGATTTCTAGAATCAGCCATGTCTCAAGTTACTTTCTCCACCATAAACCCCTCTGCCCTGGCTACACTCCCCCTACCGGCCCCCACCCCCACCCCTGCCTCAAACCTTCAGGTCTTTTTAGTGCCAAGACAATGGAGGGCTTGTACCTGGGCAGAAGGAGAAAGCGAATGTAGTAAACCGGAGCCAGAAGGTAGCAGGGCCGTTTATGGAGACCTGGAGGTCACTGTTGAAACCAGTCAAATGCAGCAGCTTCAGTTGCTGTGACCCCTTCCCAGCTCTCTGTGACCTTTCAGCTCCCTTTTGAGAAACACAGAGTTCCTGGGAACTGCTTTCAACGTGCTGTGCTTTGAAATAATCATGTGGGCTAATCTAGTCCCAAGCAGGCCTTGGGGGAAGGCTCAGGGAAATATAATAGGCTGGGAGAAAACAGGGTAATAAATCACAAATTTTGACATCGTACAATTCAGAGAGATGACTAAAGCATGTTTGTAATTTATTTTCCCCTTAAAAAAAAGAGGAGTTACTTCTTGCAGTGTGAACACCAGATCACTAAAAATAAGTTACTGGCTTATTTGTCACTGAAGATATGGGCACATCAACATCTACAGGAAATTTGAGTCTCCTGGGGTGGATGCCTTCAAAGGAAGACAATAGAAGTCGGAACAAAGACAAATCACTCTTCATTGGGCTTTCCAGCAGAGCAGATCCCGAGAGAGAAAATGGCAGGGAAAAGGGACTTCAGGGTTCTGCGTTCTGATTCCCTCTCAAAGCGATTCTTTGCGTCCAGAGCCCATCTGTGGCTCCCACACCAGGGGCTGGATACCTCATTCGGTCTTGCATGATTTTCTCCCCTTGCGATTCCTCCTATGCTTTTTATTATATTTCTTTCTACCCAAAGCAATTTTTTGATACTGTTAGCCAGATGGAGATTGGTGGGAGAGAGGGGATCCCACAAGATGAACAAACAAACCAAGGCACAAGCCCAAACCCCATCCTACCTTCTTGAAGGCCTGGCTGCCAGCAACTTCCTCTGGCAGGTGGCTGCAGATGCTAAAACCTCTTGTAAGCATTTCCACTCTGTAAATGGGACCGCAAAAGGCAAATCAGTGGAAGCAGGATTTATGTTCCCGAGTGAGCCTGCACATGTCCCTCCCCTCCTAACCAAGAGCTCAGAAAGTAGGTGAGAAGGTGGAAGGATAGAAGCAGAGCCATGAAGCAGCTCTGCCCCACACCCACGAGGTGCTGCTGGCTGGTTTAACCTCTTAAGTGCCTGCCCAGATGCACGACAGCTGTCGACAGAGTCACCAACCGTGAGATATATAGGACACTTATTTTTGGAAACATGCTCTATATCTGAGAGCACTCATGATGAAGAGATTCAGCCAGATGGCAGAAACTCAGTCACCCGCCCCTGCAAAATCTCCCCATACCCAGCGGCGGCAGAGCGGAGAGACCCCAGCCCTCTGTGTGGGATCAATTATTGCAAACCCGGGCTTCACATTTTCCTTGCTTCCCTAGCGGCGTGCCTGTCCAGTCCCTCGCCCCTCCTGCCCTGTTAAAAGGAAGGTAGATTTGGCTCAAGGAATTTTTGTTAATGTGCAAAACAAATTTTTATTCATTTTAAGGGAAGGAAAGTGCAGCCAAGATGAAGAAGCATTATTGATGGCGTGCACCTTTGCCCTCAGATGGGGAATATTCTGCTGGCAGCCGCTCTGCCCACCAGAGCTGCTCAGACCTGCCCTGACCCTGCCAGGTCCTCCCTTTGTCAAAACTGAGTGAGGCAGCCTCAGGGCCTTGTCTTCTCTTTGCTGGTCCTCTACAGATGAGTCACCCACCCTGCTCAGAAAGCCATAATCTGTAGCACATTTTCAGTTGGGATTCTACATTCGCTCCAAGAGAAAGAGATAGAGAATCTCCACTAAGTGTCAGATGTCCGTAATTCCACCATCTGTTAAATAGTCATAGCAATAATGACTTTGAAGAACTTTATTAATGATTTAGATGGTGTTATAAAAGTGGCCTACAATAGGGGCACCTGGGTGGCTCAGTTGGTTAAGCATCTAACTTCGGCTCAGGTCATGATCTCACGGTTTGTGAGTTCGAGCCCTGCATTGGGCTCTATGCTGACAACACAGAGCCTGGAGCCTGTTTTAGATTCTGTGTCTCCCTCTCTCTCTCTCTCTATCTGCCCTCCCTCCCTTGATTGTATGCCGTCTCTCTCTCTCTCTCTCTCTCAAAAAGAAATAAACATTAAAAAAATAAATAAAAGTGGCCTACAATAGATAGATGATAGATAGATAGATGGTAGATAGATGGATAGATAGATGATAGATAGATTTATTGAAGAACAGAGGAGGACATTAATCCAGCTTGACACTGAATAGTCAATATACTGCATTACCTCAAAAAGCTTAAAGCTTCAGGCACCTGGGTGGCTCAGTCAGTTAAGCATCTGACTTTGGCTCAGGTCATGATCTTGCAGTTTGTGAGTTCGAGCCCCCACATGGGTCTCTCTTCTATCAGTGCTTTGATCCTCTGTCTCCCCTTCTCTCTGCCCCTCCCCAGCATGCTCTGTATCTCAAAAATAAATAAAAATTAAAAAAAAAAAGCTTAAAGCTTGAACCACAGATACCCTTGAGAAGTTTGATTTCTCAGTGCCAATAAATTCAGCAAATATTAATCTAGCTATATTATATTCAGGCACGACACCAGGTACAGTTTCTGTCCTCAAGGAGATCACAGTCTAGTAGAAAGCATGGGATTCAAACCTGATGTAGAGGTCAGGGTTGCAATAATGCTGAGTCCAGGTGGTATGGGAACATAAGAAGGGCTGGCTAACTCCAAAGCAGGCACGGGGCCATGGAAAGCTTCAAGAGGGAGAAACATTTTGGCTTAACTCTGTAGCCTTTAGAAAGCCATTGAGGTCTTTCAAAGAGGGAAGTAACATAACCGTATCTACATTTTAGAAGGGTAAGTGGCCATTGTGTGGAGGGCAAGTGGGCAGAGGACAGCAAGACTGGAGACAGAACCGTTTGCAGATAGGTTGAATACCTGAAGCATCAGCCATGGGCTGAGAAGAGCCTGGGCAGGTACTTAGAAGAAGAAGTCCACTGAGTTTGGTTACTCATTGGTATTCAGGGTGAGGAAGGGGAGGACTGGTTTGCCCTGGAGGAGGTAATGGTACATCAACTGAGAAGGGGACACACATCTTTAGACGGGAAGTTTGAGGTGCTCATGGACTGTGGGACAACATTCTGCAAGTGGTTGAAAATGTAGAGCTAGTATTTAAAGATGGGGAGGATCTAGACACTGCAACATGGGGGACATCATTTACACAAATGATATTGATAAATGTTATTTAAAGCTGGTGATTGACCCACAGAAAGAATGCAGAAGGAACAAGGGCAAGGACAGAGGATGGGATAATAGGGACAGTGAATTCCTAAGACTGGAGGGCCGGGAGGACTCATTAGGTGCTGGGTACTAGTTAGAAAAGCACTGGAAAGGGTGTTGATAAAAAGACACCTCAGAGATGATAAAAGGACACATACAGGGCAGGCTGAGGGCCAAGAGAAAGCCAACCTCTATTGACTTATAGCCAATCCTGACAAAGAACATCAAATAGTCAATGGACCATCTGAACTTTCAATCTATTCCCAAAATAAATCTAATGTAATGTAATGTAATTACATATAAAAATTCAAATTCTGAAGGTAGCCAAGTATTTATTGCAATGAGAGCTCCTGTTTTATTATAAGAAATCTACTCTAACTGGTTCTCTGGGACTTGCTGATGTACCCCTCTACTCAGACCATATCTTTCCAGAAAGCAACTCATTTTAGTCTTCCCAACCATGCTGTGAACTAGGCATTAAAATGATCACATTCGACAGGTGAGAAAACAGAGAAAGCAGAGAGATTCAGCAACTTACCCAAAGTCACACAACCAGTAAGTATGGAGAAATGAAAAGTTAGTCTTGTTAACCTACTTAGCGGCTGTGTGACCTTGAGAAGAATCTTAGATTTACATATTCTTTATCTTAAAAAAAAATGGTGGGAAAGATTACCTGTCCCAAAGAACTCCCTTTGCCAGTGATTTTACAACCACTGGGATGAACTGACTTCATTTGAGATGAAGTTTTCCAAACTCTACCCTGATAAGCATCTGCCACATTGTAAAGATCAGTCCCTGCGTTTGCTGTAGTGGTTACTGCTCTGCTTGCTGGAGTGTTTCTTTCATTAGGACTGAGGCAGAGCAAATAAGTTTCTTACATGTCTACACCACTGGTTCTCATCGCTGGCTGCACAGTGGAATTACCTGGAGAGCTTAAAAAGTCCTGAGGCCCAGGCTACACCCCAGACCAATCACATCAGAATCTCTGGGTGTGGCATGCAAGATCAGAATTTTTTAAAGCTCCAGATGATTCCAATGTATAGCCATGATTTAGAACCACTGGCCCTGACCTCTCTCCAGGTAGAATCTGTTCTAGTCTACTACCAGTTTTACCTTTTCTCTTCCATGTCAAAAGGCTCAAAGCCTTTAGGAAGTGTTAAACTCCATAGTAGAGGAGAATGCAGAGATGGCTCCCAACATTCCCACTCCCAGTGTACACTTCGTGTATAATCCTTCTCCTTGAGTACGGGGACCCTCGTGAGTATCATGAAAGTCGCTCCCTTGATTAGGTTACTTACACAGCAAAAGTGATGGAATTTTGCAGATGTAATTAAGGTTCTGAAATCAACTGATTTTGAGTTCATTAAAAGAGAGATTATGCTGGAGAGGATCTGACCTAATCAGGCCCTTTAAAAGAGGCAGGGAGACTTGAAACAACAAAGACTGTCTCTCCTGCTGGACTTGAAGAAGCAAGACACTAAGAATTCTATAGCTGTGAGGAAGCAAATAATCAACAACCAGATGTACTTGAAAGAAAATCTTGAACTTCATGTGAGACCCCAGACCAGCTGACACCTCAATTGCATCCTTATAAGACCGTCAGCAGAGGGATTAGCTAAGCTTTGCCTAGACCAACACATGAGAACTGTGACTTAATAAATGAGTGTTGCTTTAAGTCATTAAATCTGTGGTAATTTGTTATATAGTGTAGAAGACTAATCCAGCCCTGTAGTGACCTGGGGCCAAGAACAGCTTCCCACAACCTGAGACAGGGTGCTTAGGAGTTGACCACTCTCTTTGTGGTGTGGTTAGAGCTGGTGGCAACTCAAAATGCATCAGGGAGTCAGCACCAACCGGCTCCGGGTCACTGAGAAATGACAACTGTATGACAGGCACATTTTTGTAATAAAAAGTCAAAATATGGTCTAAATGGCACACAGAAATCCAAAGTTATAATTTTCCAGAAAATGGTGGACATAAATAATGTATATTGCTAAACTGGGGTCTGATGTAGGGGGGACTTTTGGTTCATCGAGTCCTAGAGGACAGGG